ACAAATCTTATCGACAAATAAAAAGAATTAGTGTGGTTATGTAAACTGAAAGATCAAAAAACACAACAGGAGCAAGTTACTTACAATCTCAAATGTTTCTATATTGAAGGCTTTGAACACACTACCACAGGTGCCATCTCCAAGCTCCTCGGAAATTTTATACCTAAGTGAGAAGAGAAAGTAGCAAGATATAGTGCCAAAGAGATACAAGCTTTAAATGAGTAGTTGACAAATTTTAAAAATGTCAAATCCAGTGGCAAGAAACAAACCTTTCCATTCTTGCAATTGTAGCAGATGACAATCAACAATTTGTCAATGTAGTTCTAGCAACCTCCAAATGGAGGTGTTTACAGTATTGACAAAGGCTTGATCACTAGTTTGCATATATGGTTTACTGCTAAACTGTAGCATGAAATGTAAGATACCGACAGGAAAAGACTTCTCATCGTAAGAATGATAAAATATCGGCCAGATAATTATCAACATCCTCAACTGCAGCTTCTACAAGCTGCGGCTGGAGCTTATCATCTAAGCTCAATGAATCTATGAGACCTCCAAAATAACTCCAGCACAAGTGTAAACTTCATCGGTTGATCCATTTTCCTTACAAGTTGCGGAACTGATGCCCCATATATCAAAACCAGGTTTGGGCTGTAAACAATCATAAAAAATCAGCATAACTTTACAAGACTAAACTGCGTAACATAAATCATGATCTAAAGAAAGAAAACTAACCAACATATTAGACCCAATCTTATAAGGCTTGTATAACAAAAATACAAAACAAAATTCTGCCCAAGATTGTAACACGGTGGCCTAGACATAGAAATTAACGTTGACTGAGGTCATGTATCAAAAAAAATTTCTTTATTTTTTTTGGGGGTGGGTGGGTGGGGGAGGGGGGAATCAGAAACAAACAAGGCAGTATCAATCTCTCCCTCCGTACCCGCTTTTTTACTAATTAATCAGCAAAATGTTCTGTAACAAATGAAAATCTCTGGATTTCAAACAAGGAGGAAATAAATCAGCAAATTCAATCAGATCTCCTACATATAAAGCCACAGATACAATTTATTTTTAACATCTTATCCATAAAAATAAAATCTAACTCAAGCATAACGCACAGATAAAAGAAATTAAAACCAAAATAAAGTGAGCTTGCTGGAAATCATCGATTTTCTAAAGCTGAAGAAGACAAATCAACCAATTTGAATTGTAAACAATAACATAAATCATCAAAAAGTGTAGGAGGGATAACCTTTCCCTAAATTAAAGAAAAATCTCCTTAACCGAAAACTGAACAAGAATTACAAAAAGGGTGAAAACTGATAGCTATCATGTTTAGCAAAAGAAAAGAAAAACATATACGTTCTATTTCCTCACCGAGAAAAAGCAAGTATTTCTTTTTTATTAAAAAAGGAAATATATAAATCTAAAACTATGAATTTAGTATCCAACGAACACCAGAACTCAATTATACTCAATAAAATCACATAGGCCATGGCCAAATTTAAATTAGTCTTCTCCGTTTTACCACTTCAATTATTAAAAATTTGCAACAAAAAAAAAGAATCGACAGCTTCCGGAAACTTTTTACCTCTCCTTTTTCTCGGAAAACAAACAGGAAGTAAAACGAAAACTCCAACTGCATTCCAATGTAGAAAATAATAACACAGCTCAGAAACATATATATTTATCCAAACAACGATTCTGAATTCTAAAAATTAAAATGTTTTTTTAAAGAAGAAGACAGATAGAGAAGAATAAATAGATTAAACTCACCTTCAAGGCACAAAGGGCGAAAATTATCTAAGGAAGAAAGAAAAAGAAAAAGGTCGCCAATGTATGTAGGATGATGTTTAAAACAATGAAAAGGGAAGAATTTCTGAGAGAGAGAGATTTAGATTACTAGAGAATCCATATGAGAGAGAATTCCGCAGAAGAAACGAAGGAGAAGAAACCGAGGAAAAATAAAATATTAAATTAAAATATTATTTTTTTAAAAAATAGATAATTATAGTTTTTTATTATTATTTATTTATTTTTCTTTACAAAATTGAAAGTTGAAACGAAGAACAATGCTTAGTTGGGGTGGGGAAGGGAGGTGGTCCAACTTTAATATAATATTGTTTCTTTGTTGAATTACAAGGTTATCCCTACAGATATTGATATATTACGTAGTTGCATTTTTTTGGACGAGATTGCCCTGAATTGATGGATAAGGAGTGACGTGGACGGCAACTACAATGGGCGCGATGAGTACGGGACTTGAGCGTCATTGAAGGATAAGTATATGGGTGTTCTTGTCTGTGACGAAATTTGAAGTGCGGGTTTAGCGTGTGATTGATACGGTTCGGATTCGGCTTGTTTCTTTGCGTGATTCGGGTCTAAATTAAGGATCGGTTCCTCTTGGGCTGGAATTTGGAACGACCTGCCATTAGTACTAGTAGCATGCTCATTCGTGCTATTGTGGTTAACAGCTAACACCACCCATTGTTTTTATTATTATTTATATCACCACCCATAGTATTTGTATTTTTTACAATTAATTAAGTTCGGTGTCCTTTGTATTAAAATATTAGCCCATTTTCAAAATAAATGTTTAAATTATTTTTAAAATAATTTAAGTTTTTATTACTATAAAAGTCTAATATTTCGTTTCATCCTCGTATGCATAAAGTATAACATAACCCGTCCTAGCTGGCTCCTACGGACCTTCGAACTACAGCCCGTCCTCTTCTTGCATCAGGAGCTATGACCACCAAGCAGTTTTAGGAAGAGATCCGACAGAAAAACTGTAAAGTCCAATGGCATAATCTGCTTTGGTTTTCATTTCACATTCCTAAGTACAGTTTAATTTATTGGATGGTAATCTTGGATCGTATTCCTACTAATGATAGATTGCAATGTTTTGGAATTGAAACTAATAATCAGTGCATCTTCTGTTCCGAAGGAAGGGAACTCAAGGATCATCTCTTTGCCGAATGTAAGACAACTGTTTCAATCTAGAATTCTATTCTCCAGCTCTCAGATATACATAAACCTTTCCTTACTTGGACTAATCTCCTTGATTGGGCATACAACACTGGAAAGGTAAATCTTTACTAGCTAGTATCTTGAAGATTTCTTGGTGCACCCTCAACTATACCATATGGGAAGAAAGGAACCGAAGATTTTTTAGAGGAACTTATAGATCCGATGACGAGATTCTTGACTCAATTAAACAGATTGTAGGAACTCAACTTAGCAATAGAAATGTTAATATATTTGATAGAACTAACCTATCTCTTTGTAATTATTGGGATATAATATAATTTTTTGGTGTAATTAGAACCCTTTCTTTTGCTCTTTTGATTGTATTGGATTTAAAGCTATTATGCTTTTTCGGTAATAAAATTCAAATTATTCAAAATAAATAAATAAATTATAACATAACTTTTTAGTTGCATTTTATTTTCTTTTTCAATAAATAAAGTTATATCTAATCCCTCCCAAACTCAACTCTGCTGTGTCATTCCTTATTTTTAATTTATTGCATATATTTAAATACTTGAAATTTTTCATATCTAAATTATGTGGGGTTTAAAAACTGTTTCTCAAATAAGTAATCACATGGGTTTTACAACTAATATAAAAAATCCGACGTGCCATTTCTATTTTACACAAGGAGTACACATAGGGGTGTTCATTCGGTTAAAACGGTGGCCGATCGAACCGAATTAATCAAATTTTTTTTTCTTTAACCGTTAACCGAACTGAATTTTTTTTCGAACATATTAACTGAACCGAATAAATTTCGGTTAATTCGGTTAATTTCGAATTAACCGATTTTTTTAAAAATTTTATAATTTATATAAAAATTAAATATTTTTAATTCAAAAAAAGTTTATAATTAATTTAAATATATATATAAAATAAAATTTTAGATAAATTTTTAATTAATTAGTATTGATTTAAGTTTAAAAGTTATTGGATCTTAAATTATTAATTGAGTTTTAAATGGTTTGGGCTTAGCCCATATGTTATATATAATATATTTAATATTTTTTAATTAAAAAACAGTTTACAAATAATTTAAATAATATATAATTATAAAATAAAAAATTTATATAATTTTTTAATTAATTAATATTGATTTAAGTTTAAAAGTTATTGGATCTTAAATTATTAATTGGGTTTTAAATGATTTGGGTTGAGCTCATATGTTATATAATATATTTAATATTTAAAATTTAATTTCGGTTAATTCGGTTAATTAACCGAATTCGAACCGAATTAACCGTTAATCGAATTCTAAATTTTTTTTAACTGTTAACCGACCGAACTAATTCGATAACCGAACCGAATTAACCGAACTAATTCAATTCAGTCGATTAACCGAATTAGTTCAGTTATTTGAACACCCTTACATATGGATCAAAGTATTTTGCACAGAAACATTAGAACCAAACCCAAATCTCACCACATGACGATGCTACTCTTTCCCACATGAAAACCCAACATTTCTGTCGAAATCCTTGAAGACGAAAAGGAACGTGTAATTATCAGCCTTAACATTCTGTCTCAACATGTTCAAATGCACTGAAATCCCATGTTTTGGGCAATAAGTCCTTGAGTAGCCTGTGATCATTGTGTTCCAAAGGAACACACTTTTCGGTTCAGGAATTTTATCGAACAAATTGTGTGCATGGCCCATGTCAGCCGATTTACCCATACAGAGAAAGGAATGACTTTGCTATGGGAAATCGGTGTTCTGATCAGGCCAAATGTTATGATTCGGCAATGGATTTGTTTGAATTGGTCTGTCGATTTGCAGGTTTCTACCAGAGAGAAAGGCGGGTCGAGCTGATGGAAACCTGGGTAAGCCATGTAGAAGTCATTAAACTTTGGGAAAGATTTGGAGTGTTTTGATAAAATGGGATATTGAAATTGGAAGAACAGTTGCATCAATTTGCTATTTCATGAAGCAGTACATCAAAAATGAATTAAAAAAATAATTGAAGCTCAGAAGCGCTGTTTTGTTCGCCTAGTTTATTAGGCGATAGTGAAGACCCAATTCTTCAACGGATCAATCAATCATCATAGCTTCACAATGCACCAGCCGGGAATCGAACCCGTGTCTGTACCGTGTCAGGGTACTATTCTACCACTAGACCACTAGTGCTTTCTGTTGATGAAGAACAACTAAATATATATATATTTTTTTTACAAGAGATGGAAGTGAAAAAAGTAGAAAATTTAAGACATACCAGTCATGGCATAAACCACACTCGGATACCTAAAGATGGAGTTTTAAAAAAAAGAAAATAAGAACGATATGATTTACGTTAGCCATTGATAGTGACATGAGTATGATTTTACTTTTTAAAATTTTACGTGTGTATATAGAATAGTTTTAGTTCACAGTTTTATATTTATGCGACAGATATATCAAATAAATATTACAAGAAAAATAAATAATTTAAATAACATATTATGATATTATATCCTAAAATCAAATTATATATTAATATTCATCAAAGATTTCACTAAAGAAAAGAATCATTACAATAGAGTTTGAATCTCTTTTGAATGATTTGAAACTAGAGATGAGTATGGGTCGGGTTTCTACCAATCCGAACCGAAATATATATACCCTCCACTCGATCCTATTTTTTGAAATAAAATCTTAACCCGATACAATCTGAAATAATAAAAAAATATTTTTATTCAATTAAAAAATGATTTAATTGAAAAAATAATATATAAAATGGTATTATTGTAATTATTCATAAATTTATAATGTAAAATTATTTTTTTACGTCAAGTATTGTTCACCCTAAACTCGAATCTGACCCGACCCGAACAACAACAACAAAACCCTGATTCCCATATACAATGAGATAAGGGGGAGGTAGGGTAGTATGCTGACCCCAACGCCAGGTTGAGAGCAGCTTCCGTGGAAGACCTCCGGCAGTAAGAAAATTAAAAATAAAGATAAGATGCAAATGCGTGTATAAATAAATAAATAAATACATAGATGAACAGTCTTCATATGCAGTCTTGATATGTGCGTCTGTAATGGGGAGTAATCCCTGTAAATAATTCCCTACAAATAATTCCCTACATAGAAATCTTAACCCGATACAATCTGAAATAATAAAAAAATATTTTTATTCAATTAAAAAATGATTTAATTGAAAAAATAATATATAAAATGGTATTATTGTAATTATTCATAAATTTATAATGTAAAATTATTTTTTTTACGTCATGTATTGCTCACCCTAAACTCGAATCTGACCCGACCCGAACAACAACAACAAAACCCTTATTCCCATATACAATGAGGTAAGGGGGAGGTAGGGTAGTAGGCTGACCCCAACGCCAGGTTGAGAGCAGCTTCCGTGGAAGACCTCCGGCAGTAAGAAAATTAAAAATAAAGATAAGATGCAAATGCGTGTATAAATAAATAAAAAATACATAGATGAATAGTCTTCATATGCAGTCTTGATATGTGCGTCTGTAATGGGAGTAATCCCTGTAATAATTCCCTACAAATAATTTCCTACATAGAAATCTCTGCATATAGACTGAAAATGTAAGACCCAGCTAAATTTAAAAAGAAGAAACATGAATAGAAATGATAAACAAAAGTCAATAATAGCAAGCTACAAGAAGGAATAAATTCAAATGAGTTAATTCTTAAACTAAGGCAACACTACTCCGATACCCTAGTTCTAAGCCTTCATACATTTCAATGACAGAAACATGTATAAAGTAGAAGTCATGGAAAGTACTACAAAGACATTAAAAAGAAGACAGAGATGTTACACCCTATGGCTGTGAACCGCACTACTCGACTACCCTGGTCTTAAGTCTCCATACTTTCCTATCAGAGGTCATGTCATCGGTAAGGGCTAATTCCTTCAAATCAGATCTTAAGCAGTCTTCCCACTTCTATCTTGGTCGTCCTCTCCTTCTGACACCGTCGACTGTAATCGACTCTACCCTCCTGACCGCATCCGACGGTTGTCGCCTAAGGACATGCCCAAACCACCGTAGTCTTCCCTCCCTCAATTTTTCGGATATAGGCACCACCCCCCAAGTACATCCTAATAGCAGAGTTAGGTGTCATATCCCACAGAGTCCTACCACATGTCCATCGAAGCATTCTCATTTCTACGGCCTCCATTCTCCTTATGTGATCCTTCTTGATTGCCCAATATTCTGATCCATACAGCAGCGCTGGTCTTATTGCCATTCTATAAAATTTTCCCTTTAGTTTTAGAGGAACCTTCTTGTCACACAAAACTCCAGTAGCAGCCCTCCACTTAGCCATCCCGCATTTATACGGTGTGTAACGTCTTCATCTACACCCCCATCTTTATGTATCATAGACCCTAGGTACTTGAAACAATCATTTGAGGGGATAATGTGTCCTTTTATGCATACTTCTACATCTTCATCGTTTTGGTTTCCACTGAAGTTTGAACATACATAATTTTTCTTTTCAATATTGATCCTTAGACCTTTTTCTTCCAAAGCAGTCTTCCATATAGCAAGTCTACTATTCAGCTCAGTTTTTGTTTCAGCAATTAGGACAATGTCGTCAGCTAAAAGCATACACCATGGAACACCGTCTGGTGTCGCACAATAGATGTCGTCCGTAATCAAGGCGAAGATGTAAGGGCTAAGAGCCGACCCCTGGTGGAGTCCGATTTCCACCGGGAATGCCTTGGTGTCGCCAACTGTAGTCCTGACGGTAATAGTAGATCTACAGTACATATCACGAATCACCCGGATATAAGCAGTTGGGATCCGTCTCGTTTCCAGGGTCTTCCAGATCGTATCGCGGGGAACGCTATCATACGCCTTCTCAAGGTCAATGAACGCCATGTGAAGATCACTATTTTTTTCCCTATATTTCTCCATAAGCCGTCGAAGTAGATGAATCGCCTCCGTAATAGACCTGCCTGACATAAAGCCAAATTGGTTTTCTGAAACCCTAGTAACATGTCTCAACCTAGCCTCTATTACCCTTTCCCATAGCTTCATGGTATGGCTGAGTAGTTTAATACCTCTGTAGTTACCACAACGTTGGGGATCTCCTTTATTCTTATAGATTGGTATCACCGTAGACTCTCTCCACTCCTTTGGCATCTTGGCAGTCTCTAAAATAATATTAAAGATGTTGGTCAACCACTTAACTCCCTCTTCTCCTAGGGTCAACCACACAGTGATAGGAATTTGATTTGGACCGACAGCTTTGTCCCTCCCCATCTTTCTAAGAGCCATTTTGACTTCCTCAAACTCAATTATACTTGTAGGGCAGTCATTGGCCGTAGTATGATGGTCGACTGACCCATCAACGATATTATCTCTACAGGGAGAGGCACCATTATTAAATAAGCCAAAGAAGTAACTACCCCAAACCCTCTTAATATCATCTTTAACTAAAAGAACACCATTGTTTTCCTTAATAAACCTAATGCTACCTAGATCCTTTTTCCTATTTTCCCTGGATTTTGCAAGCCTGAAGATGCCGTTTTGTCCTTCCTTGGTGTCTAATCTCTTGTACATTTCCTCGTATGCTTTATCATTTGCTTTAGCCACTGTTTTCTTGGCTTCCCGATTTGCGTCCTTGTATCTTTGTTTAGCTCTCGCTCTTTCTTCATCGTCATTGCATTGTAAAAACTCCTTGAAGCAAGTTTGTTTTCTCTTCACCATAGTTTGGACTTCTTCGTTCCACCACCACGATTCTTTATGTTCCTTGACCTACCCTGTCGAAACCCAAGAGTGTTTTTGCCCACATCTCTAATGGAATTTGCCATATTTTCCCATAACATATATGCATTATTTAATTTTGTAGTTCCAAAACCTGTATTAGACAAAACCTTACTCCTAAAGTCATCAGCTGTCGCTCCATGTAAGTGCTTCCAAAGGATCCTAGGTTTATCAAGTTTATCCCTCCTATGAGTGCTCCGCCCGCGGCGTACGTGGAATACCAAAACCAACAATCTGTGTTGTGATACACATGCCTCTTCAGGGAACACCTTACAGTCAATGCAAGACCATCGATCCCGATTTCGAACCAGAATGTAGTCGATTTGGGTACAATATTCCCTGCTATGGAACGAAATCAAGTTCACATCTCTCTTTTTAAAGAAGGAGTTAGTGACCACCATATCATGTGCAGTAGAAAATTCAAGCAACGTACGCCCCTCCTCGTTCCTACTACCAAAACCGAAACCCCCATGAACACCGTCGTACCCGTCGGTTGCACTACCTATATGGCCATTGAAGTCTCCCCCTATGAAAACTCTTTGGTCCTCTGGAATGCTCCTAAGTACATCATCTAACTGATTCCAGAAGCAATGTTTTTCCCCATCCCCTAGGCCAACGTGTGGGGCGTACACTGAAAGGACATTCACCACTTCCGCTTCTATAATAACCTTAATCATCATGATCCTATCCCGGTATCTACAAACTTCAACTACACTTTCCTTGAGCCTAGAGGATACCAAGATACCCACCCCATTTCTAGCGTTATCTACGCCTGAATACCATAACTTGTACCCATTACACTCTCTGGCGCGAGCCTCTTTCCACTTAGTCTCCTGAATACATGCAAAATCAATTTTCCTATTATTAAGTACGTCAGTCAGCTCCAGCAGCCTAGCATTTAATGTGCCTACATTCAACAAACAAACTCTAAGTCTAGTCTCCTTGGCACCACTTTGTCGAGCCCTCCCCTTATACGCCCTATGGGATCTAAAAGAAGGACATGACCTCAAGTAATCATCTATAGCCGAAGCTATGAGGAACTATGAAAACGCTAGAGAATTGAGGGGTACTAAGAAGCCTAGTTAGTTACTTAATAGGATTTTAAGACAAATTAACACTATCTTACTTAACTTTAGACCAACAACAAGAAACCAATGATTGAATTTATATCTTACTTAAATATGTAAAAGTAAAATACAGAGGTCATTATTATCTTTGTATTCAAATTCGAACATGTCAAACATATTTAACTAATTTAACACCCAAGATCTATAACTTTTAAAACACCAACAGAAAAATTCGAGGGCTTTAATATGGGAAGT